TCCGCGTCGTGCGCCCGCAGCCCCGCCCGCGCCGAGGGGGAGGGGGCCGGGCTCTGCGGCCGCGCGGGGACCCGGGAAGCCCACCCCCTGGCGCCCGGGCCCGGGGCTCTCACCTTCATCCCCGGGGAGCGCGCCGGCCGCGGGAGGGGGGCCCGGGTGCGCACGGCCGCGCGTTTCAACTGTTCTTCGAAGGGTTCGCGTGCCCCCCTCGCCGGAAAATGCCCACGGAGGCCGCGGCGGGGGTGGGGAAGAGGCCGCCTCCGCGTTTCAGACATCTCAGGAATTCCGGACGCTTCGCCCGAATCCGGGATGCCCCTGCGGCTGACACCTTGATTAAATCCTGCCTCTCGATTTTTGCGGCAACCAATGCCAACGATCAGATATTATGCACGGAGCCATCATAAAAACTTTTTTAGGCTGTGCACGCTCTCCCAGGCTTTCCCACCTATTCCAAACCCCTCCCCACCTTTCTGGGCGCAGCCTTTCCTTCTGGAACGGAATGCCCCCAACATTCATCCTCTTGAGCTATTACTGTATCCTGGTTGCCCAACTCCCTGTTTTCCTCTTTGATGCACCATCTCCGCTTCCCGATTCTTTTCGCCCACCGCTCTTCATTAATATTCTGGCTTCCGTGCGTTTTTATTTTATATACCCCTTCCGCCTGGCTAAATATCGCTAGGTGTGCTTCCCAGGCATTAAAATCTAGATATGCTAGTAGCCATGCTGTGCTGGCTACATTGTAAGCAGTAGACAGCCACTGGCTAAAAATTATATTCTGTGCCAATGCTAACAAAATGGCACTTAAAAATGTTACGCTAAAAAGGATGATAATAGGTGTTATTTTACACCAAGTCACAAATTTATTGATTTCTAAGCTTATTTTCCCGTCATATGATAGTGTTCCAGTTTTTTTAAGCTGTTCACAAATACATTAGCAACAGATATGATCTTGTTGGTGTACAGAAAGGCCCCATAATAAGTACTGGTCTCTATCCTATGTGACTCAAGGAAAGATACTTGCTTTAAATGATTTACAACAAACGTTTCCCTCCTACACTTATCAGAACATTGGTATAAGGCAACAATTCAAATTAGCCAGGCCCTGAAAAAATCAGACTAAACCTCAAATAAATTAGCTAAAAAGTAGTCAGGCAAATAGCTTACTTCAGACTGATTCTCCATGTTATCAAAAGTTCACTTGGGGGGCGCCTGGGTGGTTCAGTCAGTTAAGCATCAGACCCTTGGGTTCTGCTCAGGTCATGATCTCAGGGTTCTTGGGTTGGAGCCCCACTTCCTCCCAGGGCACAGCCTGCTTGGAATTCTCTCTGCCCCTCCCCTCCCTCTCTCCTCCCCCCTCCCCGCCCCCCCCCCCCCGCAAAAATAAATAAATTTTTTTAAGTTCTTTTGGATTGCTGCTCCTCAAAATTGACTCACTAATGCAATTAAAATCCACATTCAACTTGATTTTTTTGAAGGAAGTAGCCAAGCATGTCCCTACTGAGGTGAAAGATCCTACCTTGATTCTTCCCAAGCTCACACTTCTCTTTACACAACTTACACAATCAACTTCTTCCTCCACTGGCTCGTCTTCTCCCTGCTCCCCACCCCACCCTGATTCACCAGTTTCACTTCTATCAGAACACTTAAGCATTTACAACCGGTAACACTAGATTTGAGTCAAATTTTTATTGCTGGTGATGAAGGAAACTTGCATAATTAAACTTCTAGGTAACCTGCAAAATTTTATGGCAATGTCTCAGGAAATGTGTCCTTGTCTTCAGTCAAATCAATCTGGAAGATCAGGTTGAGGCAGAACCTTGAGCTAAGATCAGGTTGAGGCAGAATCTTGAGCTAATAGTCATGCATCATAGAAAGCATTGATGGTCTTCATATCTAGAAGGCTGTATCCCTTCTCCCCAACACCCCTACCCCCAGCCTGACAGCCTTACACAATATTGATCAATGAACTATCGTGTCCAGGTTGGAGTGCTGTAAAATTAGTTTTACATAGGGCTTCACCTAAAAAGGAACATGTAAGTTGTACTGACTCCAAACAAGTGAACACAGGTAGGCAGGAAGGACTCTGGTAGAAATGCCAGTTCAGTGTTGACCAGGTTCATCACTGTCATCTGAGACTTAGCCCTAGCAGACCCAGTGGCAGATATATCCAATCATAGAAGTGAACCTCTAAAAGCAAAGACCCCCCCCCCAACTCACAAATAATAATAGCCTCCATTTACCCAATACATTCTGGGGTAGCTCCAATCTCATAGCAACATTATATCCCCACTATACAGATGAGAAAATAAGTTCTGAGTAATTCAAAAAACTTTCCCAAGGTCATAGCCCCAGTACCTGGTAAAGCCAACATTGAAACCCAGGTATAATTGCAAAGCCCATATTCTTTCCACACCAAGATGGCTCAAGAGTATTTGGAGATTGGGTTCTTACCAGAGGTAATCAAGAGTAAGCCCTAATCGAATATGACTTATGTCCTTTTAAAAACAGGAAATTTGGACAGAGACAGAAACACACACAGGGAAGACAAAGGAAAACACCTTCTACAAGCCAAGGGATAACTGCCAGAAACTAAAAGAGAAGTTGGGATTATTGCTCACAGCCTTTAGAAGAAACTAACCTCCTGTGGTGCTTGGGTGGCTTAGTTGGTTAAGCGTCCAACTTCAGCTCAGGTCATGATCTCACAGTTCGTGGGTTCAAGCCCCACATCGGGCTCTGTGCCCATAGCTCAGAGTCTGGAGCCTGCTGTGGATTCTGTGTCTCCCTCTCTCTCTGCTCCTCCCCCCATCTCATGCTCCATCTCTCTCTCTCTCAGAAATAAACATTAAAAAAAATTTTTTTTTAGAAGAAACCAACCTCCTGACACCAGAATTTTGGAGTTGTAGCCTCCAGAACTGTGAGGCAGTAAATTTCTGTCCAGCCACCTGGTTGGTGGTGCTTTGTTTTGGCAGCCCTAGCAAACTAATTCACAGATCCAAGCCAAGATGCCCGGATTTTTTGTTTGTTTCCCCTTGTGTTAATGACCAATCTTGGTGGTGCACCTACTAAGCCCAGGAGTTCACTAGTTGGAGCCCTGCCAGGAATTAGAACCCAAACTTTCCAAGGACAAACTAACAAATATTCCTGTCCCTGCCCCTCCTACCAGGTGAGAAGGTGGACTATTGACAACTTATCCCTGCACAGTGGTGTGGCTGCAATCTGACACCCATGCTCTTCTCATAGACTTCTGAATGAAGGTCCTTGATTGATCCCTTTATACAAGTTTTACTGTTTGCTCTGAATTTAATAGTAATTCATGTGTATAAAACATTAAAAACAAACAAAATAAGACAAGAGACGGGCATTATTTAAACTGACAATGGTAGTATGTTATGAACAAAGAAGTTAATACAGTTGGCCCTCGATCAACACAGGGTTAGGGATGCAGACACCCCCTTCCCATTACAGCCAACACAGAGAACTTTTGACTCTCCCAAAATTTAACTCTTAAGAGTCTATTGTTGACCAGAAGCCTTACCAATAACATAAACATACAATTAATACATATTTTGTATGTCATGTGTATTATAAACTGTATTCCTACAATAAGCTAGAGAAAGAAAAGAATTTTTTTTAATTTTTTTAATGTTTACTTATTTTTGAGACAGAGCACACGGGGCAGAGAGAGAGGAAGACACAGAAGCTGAAACAGGCTCCAGGCTCTGAGCTGTCAGCACAGAGCCCGACACGGGGCTCGAACTCAAGGACAGCGAGACCGTGACCTGAGCTGAAGTCGGACACTCAACCGACCTAGCCATCCAGGCGCCCCGAGAAAATTGTAATTTTTTTTTAAAGGTTATCAGGGGCTCTCCCATTATTATTTTTTTTAATTTTGTTAATGTTTACAGATTTTTGAAGGAGAGAGAAACAGAGTGTGAGGGGGCAGGGGCAGGGGCAGAGACAGAGGGAGACACGGAAACCAAAACAGGCTCCAGGCTCTGAGCTGTGGGCACAGAGCCCGACGTGAGGCTTGAACCCACAAGCCATGAGGTCATGACCTGAGCTGAAGTCGGGCGCTTAACCAACTGAGCCACCCAAATGCCACAAGACAATTGTTTTTAAAAAATCACAAGAGGGGAGCCTGGCTCAGTCAGTTAAGCACCCGACCTCAGCTCAGGTCATGATCTCAAAGTTTGTGGATTCAAGCCCCACATAAGGCTCTGTGCTGACAGCTTGAAGCCTGCAACCTGCTTCAGATTCTGTCTCTCTCTCTCTCTCTCTCTCTCTCTCTCTCTCTCTCTCTCTCCCCCTCCCTTGCTTGTACTCTGCCTCTCTCTCTCTCTCTCTCTCAAAAATAAATAAACATTAAAATTTGCTTTTAAGTCACAAGAGAAAATACATTTCCGGGATCAGCTGTACTCAGTTCTCTACATCAGAGATCCAAAAAAAAAAAAAGTGATATATGGTCACTGCAAACAGTTTTATGAAATGGAAAACAGTAAAGAGGTACAGATCATTCGTAGGTGTCCCCAGAGATAAACCTTTTTCATATCTTCATATTGACATATACCCTCCCAGACATTCTTAGGAATGAATGCATACACACATAGAGGTGCATTTCATGCCTTCTTTACTTACAATTCTGTTATGAACACGTTTTTCTGTTAATCAGGTAACATTGAGGTGATTGTTTCAACAGCTGCAAGTATGCTATCAGTTGAGTGGGCCATAATTCATTTAACTGTTCCTTTATTGTTTAAGGAAGTTTTCCCTTTTTTATTACAACTAAAGCTGTACAGAGGTGCCTGGGTGGCTCTGTCAGTTACACATCCAACTCCTAGTTTCAGCTCAGGTCACGATCTCACGTTTTGTGAGTTCAAGCCTCACGTAGGGACTTGGGATTCTCTCTCTCTCTCTCTCTCTCCCTCTCTCTGCCCCTCCCCCGCTCTCACATTTTTTTCTCTTTCTTTCTCTCTCAAAATAAATATTTAAAACAAATAAATAAGTAAAGCTGCATAAACATCGCATAAATACATTTAACACGCCTGTCCAGCTATTATTCCTCAGGTGAGGTAAGGGCATACATCCTTAAAAAGCTTTGATTCCTGTTGCCAAAATATCCCTCAGAAGCGATTTCACCAATTTGCAGTCGTAAAAGTCATGTGTGAGAATGACTTTTCCCACTCTCTACCACGCTCTTGTTTTAATTTACCTTTCTTTGATTATTTAAGGTCTTCTGTCTTTTATATGTCTATTGGCTATTTATTCCCTGCCTGTATATATACTCATTCCATGCTCATCTGGGAGAGAGGTGGGATTTTATTGATTTTATTTTTCTAATTTTAATTTTTCTATTTCTATTTTTTTTTTAACTTTACTGCAAAAAAAGAAATAAAAGGGAACAAAGGAAAGGAAACTGGAAAGCTATATGTAATGGTTAGGCTGGTGTTAGATGCCCATCACCCTGATTTATCTGT